TTATCCCGAGGTATTTGGCGCAGACTACGGGGTCCCCATTTTTATGGATGGGGCTGAGCACACTTAAATTCCGTTCGTCGGACATGCTTTCATCCGACCATCTCCCGCAAAGAAGGTGATGCATGCACCTTCTGAGTATTTGGCTGCCGTTTTTGTTGTGTTTCACGCAGAAAATTTCTATTCAGTAATCAAGCACTGGAACATGTATGCCATCGCCGTCGATTGGGGAATCGGATTAGTCATCTCTTGGGGTGCAATTTTCACTGCCATTCAGCCAACTGGAGCATTGTTCCCGCCATAAGTTCAGTATGCTCTGGGCATCAGTCGCTAATTCACCACTTTGGCTCCTACAAAACTAAATAATACTCGTTGTCAGATTCTTTTAGTAAAGCTCAAATGGCGATTTTTGTTAGGAATAACCTCAATAACCATTTTCAGAGATCATTACCTTATTATAAGAAAATATTCTAAAATTCCAATTGTAATAAGACTTATCTCTCATTTAATTAAAATGCAACCCTGCTTTGATGTGCAAGCTTTTTTCTAACCCCACACATACATACATAAAAGTTTGTACAGTGTAAGCATAAATGCAAATATATATACAAAATCCTATAAAATTGAATGAAAAACACACAAGAGCCTACGTAATGTGTTTCCAATGGATTTGTTAGCGCGGTTTCATGCCATTTTTACACAATTACATTCAGATAGAGGATAATAAATAAAAGGAACCAATGATGATGCTCCACTTTCAACTACAACAATAAATCTTGAAATTCGGAAGTTGTTGAAACGTTGAGCGTTGAATACAGCAGAAGGGAGACCGATCGCACAATGATGCATTCAAGCATAGTAATGTATTCGTACACTCACATACATACATACAAACTTAAATTAATGGTAAATTGCTCAAGCCAGCAGCAGTGATAAAAGTATTTGATAACAACTAACAAATGCGGCATTAAAAAGCGATTTTGTAAGTTGAAATTAATTAAAGAGATAAAAATTGAGTTGAAAACAATGTACGTTCAGCCGAAGGAAGCCATGTTGCTTCATGTTGCTCGTAGCGGATGCCTCTTGATTTGTTGAATTATGTTCTATAGTCTGCGATTTTTGTCCTTGCACAAAGAAACCACCGAATCGCCTGCAGAGCCACTTCCCGGAAGAAAAAGTATACCAAATAGTATTTTGATCCCAAACCTACGACTGTATCGAATGTTTTTTAAATACCCGGAAAAAAAGTGTCAATTTAGGCAAAGAATTATCTGTGTACCGAGTTTAATGTAAATTATACGATTTAAAAATAAACTCGGTCCATTCAAATATATCGGTCCTAGGACCAGTTCCCGGCGAGTCCCTTCTTATCGGATGCATACTTCATACCCAAAACATACCCTCCAGGTTTCAGGTATCTACGATAGGTTGTTAGCCAGTGTGTTGATCCGTCAAATTTATGTATCATTATTTATATATACATTTATGTATTATTATACAATATATATATTTTTTGAGAATAAAATATGAGGGAATACATATTATTATTTCAAATATTACATACAAATTTATGTGACAATGCTTACGAATCATAAAGCTAACAATATTTTTGTTGTGCATAAATTACTTGCCACTTTCTGCTGCGCTTGGAATTGCATATTAAAACAATGGCAAAGCTTAAAGCTCAAGTATACAGTCGTGGCCACAGAAGAGTTACAGCAAAATATAAATTTTATTTCCTATTTTTAATTAAATTTCTTTTTGTTTCTATATACAATACAAATATGTATGCGGTTGATATATAAATATTCATATTTGGCTTATTAACCTTCACCTTTATTTTAATGAGTTTCTCTTTTCGCATAACTGAATGATCTGCGACTAAAATTTACTATCTATTAATGACTTTAGAGCACAACTTATTAATTAACAAATGTTAAAGTAGATTCCTACAATAACACTAACCTAAACTAGTTCAAACACTACATACATATGCCTTTACCACATTCAACTAACCTAATGCTGCTGCACTTAAGAAAGAGTTGTCATTGCAACAATTGCAACAGCAACAGTAACAACACCGAACACTTTGATCACACCTAATGCACCGAAACACGTTTTCTTTGCTTGGCCAACCTCATTGCCAGTGAGACGTATGTATGTACATACGTTTGTGGCACAACTAACTTACTCCTATGTACGCGTATGTGCCATTCATCACCAAAGTTGCAAATTTCATGATCACATCAAAAGAAAACCAAAAGCAGCAATTCCAAAGCGTTTAAAAAATAAATGCTTTGTTTCATTTGTATTAGACGCTGGCATGTCGTTATGCGTACATACATGCATACATACGAGTACTGCAGAAGAATGAGCTGTGGCAACATGGGCGGGCATTCGCATCGGTTCGCGCAAATTCTTTTTTCTTGACGACCTTTTCCACACATTTTCAAACATTGGCATTGCAATTCTTCCTCTGCTTGCTCGTTTTGTTTGATTTCAAATTTCATTGCTTCCCTCTTAACTTTAATGGTATTTATGGACCAAAAACAACTTACTCTACAATATTTGTTCATAGCACCCATCTCATTCGGCGATCAAAAAAAAAACGTAGAATATGGGGTGTAAACGCATTTGTGCATTTTATTGGTTGCTTTCATACAATATTGAAAGTTCTTACGGTCGACCAGGATAAAAAAAATTCTATCCAACCGATTGGAATTTGAATGCATTATTCTACTCTTGAGGTCGCAATTGCATTGGCATTGCTCACTGCCATTCTGAAGACCAGAATCCTGCCAACATCTCAAATTATGGAAAACAATTTTTCTAATTGAGTATTTGAAGCTCTCCGAGTGTAAGACATGAAATAAAAGCTCCTTATAAAAAACCATTGGCCATTAGAAAGCGGCTCAGAATAAACTGTTGGTCCAAAAGTTGGAAAGTTCCAATAATGTAAACATTGTATATATTCTACTCATTAAAAAATTCATTTTACAGCCCGATTTCTAGTTTAAAAAAATTACACTAATTTTCGAAGTCAAACATATTTTTAATTTTCAACGAAATTTTTGCAAGCTCCAACCGACACAAACGGTCTACAAGCCAGGATTGGTGGTCAAGAAGGTTTTGTTGTGTGTTTGGAAGAATTAGCAAGGAAGCAAGACCTGTTCACCTCTAACCAAACTCTCAATTCAGACTATACTGCCAGCAGTACGACTGTCTGAAGAAAGCAACATGAGGGAAATTGCGTTTATCGATAGCGACTCTATATAAGCTCCGAGAGCTTGGTGCTTTATAGTCCGGACCTCCACCAAGAGATTACCGTCTGTACCTACCTATGGTGAATGATTCGGCTGGTGAGGAATTAGGCTCCAGAGAAGCCTATGAAAATCGATTATCCCTACTTTAGGCAATAGCGAAAAGGGTTTTTAATATAGAGAAGAAGCATAGAGCAAAAAAGGGGATATATTATATTTGACATAAATCAGATAATTCCAACTATGGTAAATAAATACTTCAATTTAATGCAAAATTAAACCACTTCACATCGCCACTTAAGACAGCCATGTCCCACTCCAATTGCAAGTGCCACAATTAGCTCTGCTTTCTTCAGATTTGAAAGAGATGCGAAGGGAATTGGTGTGGTAGTCAACGAATACAAGACGAAATATCTCCTGCCATCACACAAACAGTCATCGCATTCGTGACTCTGCTCCCATGTCACTGTTGACAGTCATAACTTCAAGGTCAGAGATAATATCATCTATCTAGGGACCAGCATCAACACTAATAATAATATCAGCCTTTAAATCCAGCGCAGAATTACTCTTACCAACAGGTGCCACTTTGGACTGATTTGGAAATTGTAAAGTAAAGTCCTCTCTCGAGGAACAAAAACCAAACTCAGCAAATCGCTCATTATTCCCGTCCTACTATATGGTGCGGAATCCTGAACGATGGCGACAACCGATGAGTCGGATTTAGGAGTCTTCGAGAGAAAAGTTTAGCGAACTAATTATGATCCTTTGCTCATTAGCAACGGCGAATACCGCAGACGATGAAACGACGAGCTGTTCGAGTTAAACGATTATATTGACATAGTTCAGCGATTGAAGGAACAGTAGCTACGCTGCCTGAGTCATGTCGTCGGAATAAGTGAAAGTACTCGAGCTTTGAAAGCATTTGATGCAGTACCCGCTGGAGGAAGCAGGAGAATGTGGACACCTTCACTCCGTTGGAAGGAACAGGAGAAGTGTGACCTAATTTCACTTGAGATTTCCAACTGGCGCCAAACAGCAAAAAAGAAGGAATGCATGGCGCGCTATAATTGATTCGGCTATAATCGCGTAAGCGGTGCCAACACCAATAGAGAAGAAGAAGAATTCCCTCGGAAGGATATATATCAAAAAATTTTCCATAGTGAATGGTGAAATCCTACAAAAAATATTCACTTCGAGTTAGTACTTCTTTTTTGGATATTTACTGTTTAGAAATCAATGTGTGGCCTAATAAAACATTTTATTTCGATCATGTAGTTATTTCATCCTCAAAGTATTATTTTATCATTACAGTATCGTGTATATTTTTTGTTTTAATTACACTTTAATTTATCAAAAGAAAAAAAACACCGCAAACGAGTTAAAATTTTTATCAGAAAACTCTGTGAATTACACCAGTGTTCGCGATCTGCTTGTACCAGAAAATCCTGTCAGTCGAGTGAAAATTTGTAGCAAAACAAACGAACCGAAAGTTGCTAAGCCGGCTGAGAAGATGAAACTGATGCGATGCGGTGCGATGCGATGCGGTGCGATGCGATGCGTTAGTAAGGCAGCCCACACAACGACGTCATCAAGTGCATACATACATGCCTATAAACATATTATATGTGGAGATGCATGTTGCATGCGGTGTACATATATATTTCTACTTATGTGAAATATAAATAGCGTTTGCAACGCCGAATACAACTTTATTGCAAATCTGTCCTTGACTTACGCACATCACATGCTGGAAAACGTTGGAAAGCACGACGCAAAGACAATTGGTTTAATCAGCGGCATGTGTATTTGAATAAATAAAGAAAACGTGGTTTAAGAAAAGGCATAAATAAATAATAACAAACATACATATATGTATGAATGTATTTACTGTGCACGTGCGCAAAGTGTTAATTAACAAACATATTGAGAATCGAAGTGTTTTTGAAAACATAATTTGAGCACTGCTTAGCCGATATGAAGATTGTGAGTGTATGTGTTGTTCATTCCTTTGCTATATATTAAAAAAAGTACGAAAACGAATAATAGAAAGTGCTTTATGTATGTAGAGCGATTATCAAAGCCGAAACTTTCACCAAAGAAAGTGAAAGTTCAAACGAGTTTTTGCCATATCTGAAATAAGTTTAAAAACGAAAGTTAATTTTCAAGATATCCTTTTGTGCATTAAATTGAGTTTATGTAATTTATGGAATTATGAAAATTTACAAATTACATATAATGAGACTATTTATTACCTGTGATGATAAAAGACAAAAGAAAAGAAGATACAAAAAAAAACAAAAATTTATTAAATAATAATTTCGCCTTGTAAATTTGGGATACAGTGAAAGTGATGCCAAAAGAACTTCATTTCTTTAGTGAAGGTTGAGTGATTTTTTTTTTTGAGATTTAAAACGAATTTATTAGTTAATAATGCAATATGAATTCAAAGTAAAAGTTTTGATACATACATATTTCTTCATGTGAAGTATACATATTACACTGAATATTTTTTAACTCGTTCCCTAAAAGTTGCGCTTTTAAATTGAGTATTAATTGCGTAGTCAGAGTTCGACCAACATCAAAAAAGGAATTTAGAAATTATATTTTTTTAATTACAGTCGCACTTAGGAGAGGAATGTCCTCTAAGTGTTTTGCTGACTGAAATAAACGCTCCTCATAAATATCCATCGGCCATTCTGAGGCGGCCTAGTATAAACAGTATGTCCTTTAATTTTTGGAAAAAAACCGCAAAAAATCTAGGCTACCACCACAAAGTGGAGGAAGAGCTCAGCCGAAAATCGCCTCAGCGGTTACAAAGCGGGAATATTTTTATTGTCGCCGAATTGCAGGATGAAAATAACTTAACAATTTTTTTTCATTTCAATATATCACATCTGTAAGACGGAAATATTTTTCACATCTTTCAACTAATTTCTTTATGAGCCCATTAAAGTAAGGATTTGCCTTATCAAAATACGCTGAAGCTGCGTTCTTGACTTTGTCATCGGTGATAAATTTCAGCACTTTTTTCTTTTTTGGAAGCAAATAATTAATATTCTTTTGGGGACCAGGTCTAGGTGGTAGGGCAGGTAATTAGAAAAAAAATAAAAACCACCTTACACAGGGCAGACAACGCAACGCAACTCTTGTAGAGAGGCGTCTTGTCATGCAAAAGCTGCAAACCTTTCCTCAATATTTCCCGTCTTTTATCTAAAGTGGCTTCTTTCAGCCGCTGTAATATTAAAGCGTAGAATTTTATAATGGTCCAAAATTATTCCTTCGCAGGCCCAAAGAATCGTTGCCATGATTTCCATCTGTCTTTGATACCTTATGCTTCTTAGGAGCTGTTGTGCCCTTCCTTCGTCACTTCATAATAATGAATCCATGTTTCGTCTCAAGGAACAATTCAATACACCACACCTTTCTTCATTACAGAGGTGCAAGAATGCACGTGGATACTCTACGCGCACACATCTTCGTCTGACCTTAGTCATGCCAAGATGACCGTGCAGTATATTAAAAACGGTTACAACTGATTATCCTTCCTTGGTAAGGGACTTTACAACGGCACCATAATCGATTTTTCCATATTACACTTTTCACTTTCCGAATCACCCTCCTAAAACCCACACGATCATAAAAACGTCCTCTCGTACGTTTCGTACATAAAGTTTGTAAAAAAAAATCTAATGTAAAATAAGCATCTGCTGAGTCCTGCTGATGGGCAAGAAGTTGGAAAATGGGCAAACAGACTAGAAAATTTTCAAGTCCGAGTATTAAAATTTGGCAGCAATTATTTAGCATACTGTAGTTGTAAAATAATTTCTGAGGAACAGAAAAACTATAATTGTGTATGATTTGAGTTGTTCAAAGTTACATAATATTAAGCTAAATTTTAAAGGAATAGTCAGACATGATCATAAGATCAATATTGGACAGTTTTAGAAATATGTTAAGAATAATTTTGCATAACTTTCCATTTTGGTACGAACGGTTTTCTACCTCCCTCAACCCATCTGGCGCCCAAAACTTGCTTTTTGGTAGAAGCAAGTATCTTTAAAATAACACAGACTCGTTACTTAGAAAATTTGCGGGCATGCAGGCACATAAGCAGGCCCCAGTTGGAAAAAAAATTATAAAGCACACTCGCTAGCTTCAAAATGATTTAAAATCTCACTAGATTGATTTTACGGATATAATTTTCCCATTGAAAACTTTGTTGGACTGCAAATCAAAAATAACAATAGAAAAACTTTTTATTTTACACTTTCTCTAGGCTCACATATTATGTATAACTTTAGTGACGTTAATAAATTGTTTATCTGCCGCCAATGTTGATTCTGCCAAAAAAGAAGATAGCAATGAGACTGATGACGATGACGGAATGATGAAATATGCGCCAGAATATGTAAGTTTTACATGTTTTAATACATGTTTAATGAGCAATAATAAAGTTAAAGTAAAAATATTTATTATTTTTATCATTTTATTATTACTTTTATACTTTTATTATTATATTATTATTTTATTTTTATTAAATAGAAAAGGCGTTTCGTTTAATTATAAGCCACTTCTTCTTTATTGGCGTAGACACCGTTTATATAGCGGTCTTGAAACTTTCGGTTAATCGCCACAGCTTATCGTAGAGTTTTCAAGAATTGCCCTTGTCGGACATACTCACGCGTTTCGCCTCATCCTTTTTTGTTTGCAAAAACGTTGTGCTTCCCTCCTCAGCTCTCAGTATCTATACCAAGCCAGACAGTTTGTGGTCGATCGCAAGGTTGCGATTCTCTCCACTGCAGTTCGGCATTACTCATCGTACCAGCTCTTTTTCTGGTACTGCTTAAAGCCATTTCTTGCCACATTGGAATTTGAGATGCCATTTAGAGTTCTTAGAGTATACGCACATCTAGAACGCTGGAGACATCTCTTCCGATAATCACAACATGATCGAATGCCCGATTTTTGACCACAGCTATGAAGCTTGATGGATGTTGAACACGATCGTTTTGTTTGAAGAAAAACTACAAAGATTAAAACGAAGCTGTTCAGCTCCCATGCTTGCCATATTTGAAAAATTTCTTAATGGCATAAATTGTAACTAAAATTTTTTAGTGGTAGTGTATATTTTTTTCCTTTATCCTTTTTACTTATTTGCGCATTAAGGAACTCAGATAAAATATTAAAAAACAAAGAAAACTAGGCAAGTTTAACTTAATTATATTTGAAACTTTAGGGACTGCAAATCTTAATTTTTTTCCAAATCAAAAGCATTTGCAAACACTTGTAAAATTCTCCAATATATAATATATAGAAAATAATAAATATTTACCTCGTTATCTGTCATAATTGAGTTATGTGCTTACTGCAAACAAAATGGGCGTCTCATGTCTGTCAAAAATTAGTGACAATAACTCGAGAATGTCAATCTTTTATTATGATGGAATACAAGTAGTTTGTTAAATGACTAAGTAAATACTTCTTTTATTTGGCGCACTCAGTGGGTCTGAAAGTGATTTACGATTTTAATATACCTACGTGTATGTAATGTATGTATGAAATTACGAGTCTGAGTGCCAGTAATATTATGCAAAACCTCTGCGGCAACTGACAGCCCCACATGTCTTAACAAAATTAATGGTGAGAAAATGTGTTCGCCTGAAATTTTTTAGATCCATGTAAATAGATACAAACATAAGTAGAAATAAAATATGGTTTTAAATAAGTATGTATAAACAAGTTGTATCAAATATGTAAATTATTATTATTTTTTTTTTTGCTTGAAATTTATTTAATTTTTTTTCTGTATGCTTTTTAAGAACAGATAATTGTTCATACGCCTTTTTAGGCGTTGGAGAGCAAAAATGTATTAGGATGGTAGCTGGTTTTATAAAAATAATAGATTTGTGTACTTTTATAAAAATTTTTGTTGTTTTCTTTAATTATGTGTATTGTATGAGGCAACCTGCAGCCATCAATGAACGACCTAAACGTATTTATATCCAAAAAATATCTATTTTCGTCGATCTGTTGATGTGCGATCACCTTCCCAGAACAAAGCCAGTAAAGTTTCTGGGCCATATTTTGGAGAAAGTGGACTCCCTGTTAACATGAGCAAAGAGCTACTTGCCTACCTACCTACTAAGTTTCAAGTAAATCAAAAAATATGTAAGATTTTTTTTTTTTTGGAATTATTTTTTTGGCAGGTGGTAATGTTTTGAATATATCCAAACTTGAAAATTGAAACCAAATCACCTTAGTAGTTTTAATGTCTATAGGCAGCATATATACATATATATAAACTTTTCTATATATATATATATATATATTTATATGCATATGTAGATATATTTTCTTTATAAAATGTTGATACATTTTTTTGTTCTATTTTTATTTCTATTTCCATCCCAGCAACATCCCGAATATGCATTTAGCTACGGCGTAAAAGATCTACATACCGGCGACGTTAAATCGCAATGGGAATCACGTGAGGGCGACTCAATAAAGGGTCACTACAGTATACTAGAACCAGACGGTTCGATACGTACCGTTCATTATACGGCAGATGCGAAGAATGGCTTCAATGCCATTGTGAAGACCGTTGGCGCCAACTCTCATCCCGTCACCGATTCACCGCACGGAGAAAATGGCATCAATGATGACACATCACAATCGAAAATCAATCACTATAGCAAAGATCAAGAGCACATAGTATTAAGTTCGGATATTAAGCAACTGAAGAAGCCAATTGAAGATCTCACACATGCACACCCCAAAATACCCAGTTTGATTGAATTCAAGCCACATGCACGCATCAAGCAAGTGCCCATGGAAATTGAGCCGGGCATGCGTGAGAGATTGCAAAGTGCCCGTGATGAGTATTATCAAAAGCAAAATCCCATACAAATAGTTAATCCCACTAAGGAATCTTACGGCAATCAGGAGAGTGAGTGGAAGGCGCTTGTACTGAATCAGAATCAGAACTCGGAGTATAAACCATTACATAATATTAATATTATCAATCATAATAAGAATAATTATCATAATGCTGAAAATTTCATAGCGACAAAGCAGTCCATCGCCAATATCGCGCAAAACGCACATAATGTTGCCGGTGGTGGAGGAGGTGGTGGTGGTGGTGTTGGTGGTGGTGTGGCTGGTGTTGTCGCAGGCAATGGTGGTTTACACACCGATTTCATTGCCTCTGTGCCATTGCACCAACGTCAGCATGCCTCCTACATCGATCCGAGCATAAATAATATAGCGCCTGGCAAGAAATTCAACTTCAATCCTCCGAATCACAAACATTACCCGGTGCCTACACAATACAAATATCAAGCGAATTTCAAAGCACCACCGCCACAAGCTCGCCCTGAATACGGTAATTACTTTCAACGTAAAACCAAGAAATTCAATCATAAGGACTCTCCTGGACCAGTGGTCTTCCCTAACCACGTTGGTGACGCACAAAATGCCGCTTCCGCGCAAATGATTCAGTCAATGGTGCGTCTGGATCGTAAGCACATAACACCCATGTATGCTAACCGTCATCAACGTTATCGTACAATTTAAGTATTCTTAAAGAACTTCTTATCAGTAATGCAATATTTCAAGAGTGGATGCGCGTGCTTAAACTGAATTTTTGGTTATGTGAGGAGGTTAAATGTACAATTTGTTTATTTATTTTATATTATTCTATTATTACACTTACGGAAATGTTTTAATTTATTTTTACGAGATAGTTGTTTGAAATTGAATTAATAAAAACAAAAAAAAAAAAATAATAAAATAATAACAGAACAATTTCTGTGTTAATCGGAGACAAGTTTTGAATGATTCGTATATTAAGAGCTTGTGCATGTAGGGGAGTAGTTGATAAGCGGAGTGGTTTCCGGTACGGTGCCTTAGAGACAAGGCTAACTCGACGGATGTGCGGCTATTTCCCCAGCTTTATCCAGATTTAACAGTGCCGATATTTTTAAATAGCAATGTAACAGGAATTGTCTATTTAGCGTTCATTCATCACCTTTATACTAGTTAAATACTACTTCATTATCGCTTGTAGAATTTCCACTGCGTATAAATATGACCCTAGAAGTTTGTATGAACATTTTTGTATAATAAAATCTTCCCTTATTTATGCCGAATAAATTTCAACTTAACTGATGCAAGGTATAACCGAAGCATGGGTTTGGATTGGTTTAAGATATAAGCTTTGGTATATAGCGTCACTAATGGTAGGCAGTGTATTCATGACAATATCAGTACAAATAGTATAAACAAAGGGACTCATTTCTGAAAAATTAAGAAACATGCTTACAGATATTAAAACATATTATTAGAGCTATGACTAGAAGACTTTGAAACACATAGGTTTAAAGTGAAAATGTGCAAACAAGCAATGATGGTAAATGAATGAGGAATAAAGAAAGCATTATTGGGTGGACATTGGCATCACGTGTGACAACAGCCGTGGCGTTATTTCCACATTTACACTTTCAACAATCTGTTCACGTACAAGGAACAAATATCGAAAAAAAATGTTAGCATATTTTCCTATTGACAGTAAGGGGTTTTCAAGAGATGGATTCTTGAACCTCCATCCACCGATGGAAGCAGAAGAAGGGGTAAGCCTTCCCTCAGTCGAAAAGGTAAGGTGTAAAACGAACGAACGAGCTTCACTCGGTGACAATTAATGAAAGGTCTAAAGTTTATGGCGACTCTTGTCCGGAAAAAATATTTAGTTGGGGAACTAAGCTAAAAGATAACTAAAATATATGACATTTGATCATGCAGTCCATAAGGATCGGTATTAGTACGGTGTTATGGATTATCAGGTAAGGCGGTGTCTTAAGATTATATATCCTACATCAAACAAGATGGTCCACGCTATTACAATGGTCATTAAGATCTAAACAATTCCATAAATTGAGCGCCTAGCGAACAAATCCGCGTCTTCTAGACTCGGTGATCTCAACAGCCTATAAATATTAATAATTATAATATACCCGCTGGCAATTTACAGCTGCAATTATGCGTTAAATTAATTACAATAATTATAATATTTTAATTTGATCACAACGCCAGCAATTTACAATCATACTTAATACCAACACCTAGCAAAGAGTTGTTGGCGGCCTTTTTATTGCAAGCTAATTGGTGCGCTTTGGCACAATTTGTTGTATTACTACAACATTTGAAGCACAAAAAATTAAAACAATTTTTACCAACAACTCAACGATAGACATTTAAATGCACATACTCGTATATATACACACTTGCATGAATGTATGCGTGTAAAGACAGGAGATTTGAAGCAAACCAAATATAAGTTAGTAGGCAATTCTAAATTCACATACATGTGTATAAGTGCATATATATGAGTGCATATGAATATATATCTCTTAGAAATATAGAAAAATAAATGAATTGCATTAGTTTTAAGCGCGTTGTTTTAAAATTTCAAGGTCACTCTAAAATAGATCACCAACCTCCGGCTAATTGCAAGCAAGTGAAGCAAGTGAGAAACATTATGGCAGAAAAAACATTTTTTCAATAATAAAAAGTCCAAAGTAATTGCACTAAGCGACGCTTGTCAAATCTTGTGTGTGGGAAAAATTAATAATTCTTTATATTTATGTATTATCTTTGGAAAAGTAGTAAGAAAATATGTTACTCATTTCTTGCTAATTGTCTTGTTCAGCACATTTATGGTAGTTGTTTTTTCTGTTTGTCTATTTGAAAAATTGCACAAAATCCCCTTTTCTTTTCTGCTCTCTCAAATGGCACAATCAAAAAAACGTGAATATTTATCTTTTATCTCTTACACATATAAGAATGAGAAAAAAACAAGTTTTTTCCAAAATTTGATAATAAATATAAAAAGTAATGAGGTTTTACTCATTCGGTGCTTAGTACCTACTTAGTGGCTGCTTGCATAAATATATGTCCAAAAAGAAAACCACATTTCCAAGCATGTCTTTATACACATAAATACATGCATATATACATATATATATATATATATATGCGCCGATTTAATCTAATTAACTTCAATCATTCATGGTGCTGTCTTTTGCTACTTGTTTGATACGAATCAACCAACCAACCAACCAATCAAACAAACAACAATTTATCAAACTTGAAAATGAGCGCAATATATAAATATACATGCCTACTATATATATATACACGTATGTACATATCAACAGCTCATTTAGCTAATCCGTTCAACTCTTTTACGAAAATGAATGCAAATAAGTTCGGCAAGTGCAGAAGTAGGTATAAATAAACACACGCACACATGCGCATACACAAATACTTATGTGTGATTGTAATAATATATAAATGTATATATATATACATATATCAAACTATCCATAAATGTATCTATGTATGTAATGTAACATTCTAGAAATCGGCAACTAGTCTAGTCAACTTTTGAAGCGTGAATTGCAGCAAATTAGCGCATATATTCAAGCAGGCCGCAACAATCATGAGTAGATTAATAAAAAAAAAAGTTATAAAAAAATCATTCTTTTCAATTTAGCACATTACGCGCGTATATACAAGTGTTTATACAAATTATATTTTTATTTGCTTTATTTATTCACTTTTTTTTTTTGGTTTAGCCCACAATCTGCGCCTAAAGTTGCTCCCACGTCCAATAACTCGGGCAAAAAGCAAAAGCAAATTAATAACAACGCAAAAAACAAAGTTCTAAGCATGTCATACACACCTTTTCCATATTGCATATTTTTTATATTTGCATTTACATATACAAATGCATAGAATATTTTTCTTTCTTTTCAGTTATAAATAAATACAGCGCACGCACAATCACACGCAGCTTACAGTAAATTGAAAGCAATCATTGCAAAAACGAAATAAAACAAAAAAACAACAACCAAAAATGAAAAACGCAGCAAATGGCTTGCATAAAGTTTTTGATAAATACACACAAGCACATAAACGCGTACACGTATTTGTTTGTTGGTTTGTTTGGTTGTTTTTTTTTTTTTTTTTTTTTTTAGGTTTTGCAGACTGACTCAATCTCGGTCATCGGTTGGCTTTCATGCTGTGCACAGTATTTTAGCGTTGCCAAATTATTTCATACCTTGTTTATAAATTGTTAACAAATATGTTTGTTGGAAGATAATTATTGGGCGAAATTCAGGCATACGTGTAGTATGTGGTTACGTCAAAATGTTACTCATACGACGTGTCGGCACACTTTTAACTAAATAATAAGTAGCAATTATACTGCACAAGTGTTTGTTGGCAAGTAAATAAATTATGTTTAATATTTATTTACCATTAAACTTTATTATTAAATAATTATCTTTTTACTAAAAAAATTTGTGACTCTCAAATTCAGCAGTAGGAATTTCGTCTTAAATTGTAGAAAATCTAAACTTATTTTTTGTTGTTTTCGCGACCATAAATTCTTAATTTTTTAATTTAATTTCGTAATAACAAATTGGGGTTTTGAATACTTTCATTGGGTTGTGCTGCTTCACTTTGGACAAGTTGCTGCATATAATACTTATATAGGATAGAGCTAAAGCCTCCTTTTGACTTTCATGAAGACTCTCTACCTATACTTTGTTTTTAACAAATGAAAACATCAAAAAGCGAAAAATAATCATATAAATAGTGAGTAATTGATAAAAAATAAAATTTAAAATAAGAATAAAAATGTAAAATTAAATTAAATATCAGAATTGAAATGGGTATTTATTTCAACAACAGAAATTAAAACTAAGATTAAAATAAGGACAGATACAAAAAAATATATAAAAAAAAAAATATTAAATAAAAGTAAAGTAACAAATAGAACAAAAATATAATCAAAAACAAACTTTAAAAATAAAAATAAAATAAAACTAAATAAATATTTAAAAAAACAATCAGGAAAGTACAAAATCAATTATTAAAAAATAATTATAAAATTTTTTTATTCGTAAAAATAACGGTTTTACAATAAATCCAAAATTGATAACGTAAAATTAATAATGGAAATGAAAACAAAAGCATATCTATATTAACAATGGAAACAAAAAATTAAAAATCTGTATTTAGAGAATTAAAATAGAAAATTAAATATTAAAAAAATAAAAATTAATAAACAAAAATTACAAAATTAAAACTTAAAGCAAAATGTAAAAATTACTAATATTTTTAACAATAAAAATATATATCAACTTATTTTAATAGTAAAAAATAAAAACAAATCAGAAAAGAAAAACAAAATCAAAAATGAAATCATTAAGAGAGTAGAAAAAGTGAAAGAATATCAATTGTTTAATCAAAAAAGCAAGAATTAAATTAATATAATTTGAAAAAATTAACCAAACTAAAAAAAAATTAAAATGAAAAAAAAATAAATTATTAAAAACCGACTTTTTAACTGGCAAAAATTTTGAAATGAAAAACTAACAGTTATTAAAAATAACACGTAATACTGATTATTTAAGCGTAAAAATAGAAAAGAGAAAAATTTATCAAAAATGTAATTCGTTATAGCCGAGTAATCATAAGTTCGAGTTTTGACAATGCCAGCATTGGAAATTATAGAAAATAAATCTAAAATTAATATATTTTTTAACTACAGTCGCCCGTTGGCAGGGACTGCATTTTTTACATAAAATAAAAATTTTCTCATCAAAATCCATCAGCAGCGGCAGCGACTTAGAATA